CCAGAACTCTATTGAAAACATGTTTCTCATTTGTCGCGTATGAAATCTAAAAACAGTCTCAAAGTGCAGAAAAACAAAACGATCGAGACAAAACACGGGGTAAAATTGAAGTGCGTGTTTCCTATGTGCTTATATCACTGAGTTGGAAAATAAATGTATATATTTTAGGGGTGCTGCTTGACGAATGGTAAGGGGGTAGGGGGTGGGGGTGTTGGCACAACCTCTGCGGCACTGGCGTAAACAGGGATCCAGTGCCGGCAAGAACCGACTTTTTTTTTTTTTTGATGCCACGTCAGGTTAGTTTTTTTCTGTGCAGGCGTCGTACCTGTGCCATTGAGAGGTGCCCGCAGGTGAAACTCGATTAAATCATCCGCCAAAATGCGACGTGGGGTTCGAGGGTCGGGAGAGAATGGGGGTTGGGGGAGAAAGAAAAAGATGGCGGGGGGGGGGGGAGATGGTGAAATGTGATGGAGAAGACATCCACAAAGTCAAGGGAAATAATAATCCACAAGGTAAGGGGAAATAATCAAATAATCCATAGTTTTTAAGGGAAATAATTCACATCGTAAGGGGAAACAATCCACCGTGTCAAGGAAAATAATCCGCAAGTTAAGAGAATAAAAAAATCCACAAACTAAAGAGAAGTAGCATTTGAAGTCTATGAAAAAATATCCATTGTCAAGAAAAACAATCCACAAAATTTACGGAAATAATTATCACGGGGAAATAATTCACCAGGTACGGGTAGAAAACAATCCATAGCGTCAAGGAAAGTAATTCACATGGCGAAGGGAAACAACCAGTGAGGTCAGAAGCAATAATCCATGAAGTGGTGAGCAACAAACCTATAAACTACAAAGTAAGGGGAAATAATCAACAAGATCAGGGGAAGGAACTTGCATTGCTAATAGAAACAGTCACCGATGCATCTAGCTGTCAGATTCGGTTGTTATCAATATGGCCAGTATAAAGAGTAGGCTACTACATTTTTCTCACTATTTGATAAGTAATACTTTATTAAAGTGTATGACGTACAATTACTATAACCTTAGGAAAACGAATTAGTAATTTGTATAAAATGTATTCTTAGCTGATTAAAGTTATTCGAATCACACACGAAAGTTAACCAAAGTTAAGATGTATAATGTTAAGCAATTATAGTAAAGTAAACGCAAAGTTACTGATTTAAATGTTTAAAACAATTGAATAAAAAAAAAGTAAACGCAAAGTACCCTTTCGAACCTGACGGTCCATTGGCAGGTGAAGTAGAGCTCACCTGTAACACTGACCTCGGCATACACCGGGATAGTGTGTTCCGCACTATACCCTACCACCTTGGTTTCCCTTGCGTGAGACTGATGGATGTACTATAGAATTAAGCCCGGGATCCGAACTCGCGACTATCGGGTTAGAAGTAGTAAGCTCTACCAAACGACCACGCCGTCCTTGTATGTAATATTGGTTGATTCAAATTATAGGTATGACGCATGATAATTATCCACAGTTCACATGTTGATGTAAATAGTTGTCAAAGGAACCTATTCTATTGCAGTGATGCAGTAGTAGGCCTACATGTCTTTAAAACAAGAAATCACACTTCGGTGCGCATTTTTTGTGCGTACGTTTGGTGTGTTCAATATGCGGAACTTTACAGACAAACAAATAAAGAGAATGAAAAATTAATCGAAGATAAGGTGCCCTTAACCGTGAGCCGGACGTTTTCCAGAAAGACACTTGCACGAGAGCCGTTTGCCCGAAGGCCGATTTCTCAAATGGACACTTACCCGAATGCGACAAATGCGAAAGACACTTGCCCAAATAGCATAGTGCAGACATACAGGTTCATTCCTTCGAGTACCTTAGCGCTATACTATCTGATCATACATGAGTGAATAAAACTAGAAATATTGCAAGAGTTGTAAAAAACCCAAACAACACTCAGTAAACCAAGAAGCATCGGGTACAAAAATTAAACGCATGCCGTCACTGGTGTTGTCTTTCTTTCAATACGTCTGTAAGACATGGACACTCAACCCACACCTCCAGAGGATCATGCAGCCTCTGGAGATGAGATGTCTACACCAGTGTTTCTTCCAGACTTTTTTCTCCGGGGGGGGGGGGGGGGGGGCACTTGAAATTTTCGGGGGGGGGGGGGGGCGGTAGACTTTCTTCGGGGGGGGGGGGGGCGGACACTGTTAAAAGTATATATTTTCTATATAAATTATATACATTTCATTTCGTTCGGGGGGGGGGGGGGGGCGGTACAAATGCGATGCCTGGAAGAAACTCTGGTCTACACGGACTCCTATGGACCTCATACAGCGATCATATAACAAATAAAGACGTCTGGAAAAGGATCACTAATGCGATTGGACCCTTTGAAAGTCTATTGAGCCGTGTCAAAATAAGAAAATTAAGTTGGGATGGGCATATCACTCGAACCAACGGCAAATTCAAAATAAAAATGCACTGTGTTAGGAGTTTGAAGAATCGGTAGGCAAAGACGTCTGTGGATAGATAACATCAAAGATTGGATCAGGACTGCCCGTTACAGAACTACTTAGAGCAGCGAAGGACACATACAGGTGGCGGAAGATTTGGTGCGACAAGGGTTAATGGATGATTTGTTGATTGATTTATGTATGTTTAATATATATATATATATATATATATATATATATATATATATATATATATATATATATATATATATATATATATATATATGTACGTAAATACACTATCTATTATATATGAATACGAATATGTGTATTTATAAATATCTAAGTAAACACGACCTATTATCAGTCGTGGAGAATTATCTGTGTACTCACCCAACACACGATGAATGAGTTACTGATAATAGCAACACATCACGTGACATCAAAGCCCTACCCCTCCCTTTCTACCCCCTCTCCTCAACACACATACACACCCATGCTATACCCGTCACGAAGTTCTACCATCACATACAGAAGATTCCGGTCAACCCCTCCCCCCACCCCACCCCTTTACCACATACACTCCTAGTATCTGTAATACACAAGATTCAGGTCACCCCTCCCCACCCCACCCCTTTACCACATACACTCCTAGTATCTGTTATACACAAGATTCAGGTCACCCCCCCTCACCCATCCCCCTCACCACATACACTCCTACTATCTTAACCCTTTCGTCTTCTTATCGTGGCGCGACCCAACGAAAACTGCCACACCGCTGCTAGACACTAAAGGGTTAAAAAATGGGTTCCTGCCTATTTTCGGATCCTTGGCATCAAGCTTGATACACACTCCTAATGTTGTGTTGTGTTGTGTTTTTTTGTGTGGGGGTACTTAGACGTTCTATAAACCTGAGTGTTACGTTTGAACGCTGTAACTTCTGCCGTGTTGTTTTTTTTTTTCTTTTTTAAAAACTCGTTGCATCATAATTGACAGGAGCAGAGCGTGTTTAAATAATAAGCAGGCAACTGGGGGCGGGTTAGTGCAGGTGAAGTAGAGTCGAGCTGTGGCAGAATTTGAAAAAAAAACTTTCCAACCTGCTTTTTAAAAATTCTTGCCGCCCCCTTCCCCCCCTCCCCTATATAGAATATTAACTGGATAAATAAATTATAAATAGTTATAACCTTGATAAAGACAATAATAGTACCGTATTTCGAACCAAGTGCCCACTAGTTAAAACTATGCACGCTACCAATAGACCACGTTTCCTATAGATACAAAACTCACACTATAAAATCTCCCAAAGAAATTCTGGGTATTCATATCTCCTTCGTGTACACATACAATATCCTAGAGACACACTACTACTAATATTTACTTTACTACAATTATATTAGCAGTAAAACACAACACAATTTATCTCTAAAGAAAAACAAACAAACTTAAATAGATCCCAAATAGGCCTACTTATCTTAACCCTAGCAGTCACATTAAGTAAACATCGATCAATGAACTGACATTTTCCTAAAGAACATGACTCCTACACGTTCTACAAAAGAACTTTAGTCTCCTTTGTGTTTTCTCACTAATCATACGGTAACCAAGGACGCCGGTAGCCATCTTGGTGCTCCAAGTTGGTATAGTAAAAGATGCTGCTAATAAGATTTTTAAAATAAGCAAAACTCAACAACTTTTATGTGACTGTTTTCTTCTAAAACCAGCTACCAAGTATTTATGTTAATGATTTATTTTGAGCTTTTCCCATGTAATTGAAAGCAAGTAAATTAATTTCTAAAGAGGGTGAGAGAGAGAGAGAGAGAGAGAGAGATAAGGAGAGACGGAGAGAGAGAGAAAGAGAAGAGAAAGAGAGAGTATTATTTTAAAATAATTCGTTTGAGTACATAAAACACGCAGTTTTAGATAGTACAAATCACGTGACAAAATCCTTTTTTGAAAGAGACAAATTAGTTAAACAAACTGAATGATAAGTTAAAGGTTAGAGAGTAGGTATAACTAATCCACTTCTACTAATTGGGGTTACAGAAGATAGATATCCATTTTTTTAACAAGGGTAAGAGAGTATCCAAAATTTAGAACTTGTTTTAGAGATTATAACGTATTCTAACTTGAGTTAGGGTTAGAAAGTATAGATATATATAGTATCTATTTATTTGAATTAGGTTTAGAGAGTATCCAATTATTAGAACTATAATTAGTATCCACTTATATGAACTAGGGTTAGAGAATATGAATAATCCACTTATAGGTTTAGAGAATATGAAGTATTCCCTTTTATGAGCTAGGGTTAGAGAGTATACAGTATCCACTTATACGGACTAGGGTTAGTAGAGAGTATAAAGTATCCACTTATATGGACTAGGGTTAGAGAGTACGAAGTATCCACTTATACGGACTAGGGTTAGAGAGTACGAAGTATCCACTTATACGGACTAGGGTTAGTAGAGAGTATAAAGTATCCACTTATATGGACTAGGGTTAGAGAGTACGAAGTATCCACTTATACGGACTAGGGTTAGAGAGTACGAAGTATCCACTTACTGATCTCGTCATCCATATCCAGAACTTTCTCCATCAGCTCCACCCTGGACTCTTCCCCCGTCGTGGTTACTTTCGATTTCATTTCCGGGTAGTCCAGCAGAATCGACCTTGGCCTTGGCTCATCCTCGCTATCCAGCCTCCCTCGGCTCGCGCTGGCCTCGTTCCCTCCCTCCTCCTCTTCCTCTGCCTCATCGCTGTCTCTCTCCTCCGAGGTATCCCCTCCTCCTGTGTCGTCCTCCGACTCCTTCTCTTTCCCGTCCGCTTTCGCTTTCTCCATTTGTTTCCCCGACGTCTGTGTTTCACTCGGTTTCGTAACTGGCAAGTCGCGTTCTTTGGGCCTTGATGCGAGTAGCGCGGATGTCGTAGAAATATCCCACGCGAGTGTCAGGTCTTCACTGCTAAGTCTTGGTGCCTTCCGTTCTTCAACGTCCCCCTTCTCTTCTCCTGTACTCAGCTCAGGTGAAACTCTGGCAGCGGGATCCCCCGGTGCCTCGCTCCCTGTGACCGACGACCCCGTCTCGCCTCGCTCCGCCATGTTTCCCCCGCGAAGCACGTGCACCGCGGGGTCACGTGTCTTGGGATCCGATCGCTGATTGGCTACATCCAACGCGGCGCGTGCTACCTGGGTTCCCGGGCCCACTAACGGAATGCCGGGAATGCTCAGTGTACCTGCAGGAGAGGGAAGGGATGAGGAAAGAAAAACAGATTAGAATCTTTTTTTTTTAAATGAATATTTAGCTGCAGAATAGTCACACATCGTAAAATAAATTCACGACTGTAATCGAGTACTAGTTTAAACACTTGAAGCGATACCTGAAAAGGCGCTGAGCTCTATAAATAAAAGCACAGGCAATTGTACGATATGTATGGGACCTCACACACAAAAAGTCCTCTGTCTCCCACACAATAAAGGTCCACCATCTCCCACACACTGAGGGCCTCCACCCCCCACACAAAAGTCCTCCCCCCCCCATCTCCTACACACTAAAGGGCTTCCATCCCCAAAAAAAAGATTAGTCGAAAGCCAATTTAAAGAAAATAATTCTATAGGTCTATTGATATGTAGAGATGTGCCTATCGACTTCCAAACATTTTCAATACACAATTTAGCGACTCACGGTTCTCTTTCTGTTAAATACATTGAAAGAAAATCACTTTATTTTTAAAAATGTTGTTGCATTATATAAAAGCCTGTTATTATAAACGTTTTTATTTTTTTTTTTTAAATTAAATACTTTTATGATTAGCAAAATGTCAAAACTAAAAAGTCTCTAATAAGTGTACAGAATTATGTGCATTTGCACGATAAGATTATTAATTAATATAGCAATCTTTAATTAACTTATATAATAAATAAAACATCTAATTATACCAAAATTTATGACCCGTTGCATTGTCATTGGGTGTTGACCTATGTGTCAAGTTTGAAAAAAATCGGTACGGTAGAAGTTGATAAAATCTCGTTCGCAAATCTCGACCAGTGAGAAAGCGTTAAAATAAAATAACGAGGAATCATATAAAGGCAACAACAAACTAGACCGCCATAGTGGCGACCAAATAATCTGTCGTCACAGTAGCCTTGAGCACTATCGTAGCATTCATAGCAGTGGTACCACCCCCACCCCTCACCCCCCCAACATCACTACTGTACAACCCTGAGGTACCAACCCCTATATATCACTACTGTACAACCCTGAGGTACCAACCCCCCACAACCCCCTACATCCCTACTGTACAACTCTGAGGTACCAACCCCTCTATATCACTACTGTACAACCCTGAGGTACCAACCACCGAGACTACAGTACTTTTCTTCCAACCTCTAACCTGGTAACTACTGTACAACCCTAAGATACCAACCCCCAACATCACTACTGTACAACCCTGAGGTACCAAACCCTCTATATCACTACTGTACAACCCTGAGGTACCAACCCCCCCCCCCCCCTATATCCCTACTGTACAACCCTGAGGTACCAACCCCCTATATCACTACTGTACAACCCTGAGATACCAACCACTGAGACTACAGTACTTTTCTTCCAACCTCTGACCCCTAACCTGGTAACTACTGTTTTCCTGACCTACTGCCCCACAATGCCCGGCCCCTAGAACTTATTTACTGTGAAATTCCAGACTTCTGGTGAGCGGACACGAGCGGCTTGTGTTGCTGTCTGTCTAGCTACCTGGGGGTGGGGGCGGGGGTGGGGGGTGGGGGAGGAGGTGGGGGTGTTTTCTTAAAGAGGAAACTTGCAGAATTTTCTGGAAGCCGCTGCGTCCATCGCTAACCCAGGGGCTACTCGTAATTGTTGTTTTCGGCCGACCCACTTTAATGAACATGTGAAGCAGTGGCGTAGCTAGGGGAAGGCGGGTGGGGCGTCAGCCCCAGGGCGGCGACCCCTAAAGGGGTGCCAACAAAATATGTAAAAGCTCATTTTAAGCAGGGTTATTGAATTATACACACATTTGTACATGAATTGTGAAGCACCACAATAGAAACCTTTACGGATAATGAATGGTTAAAAGCGTCACCTATCCAACTGGATGGTGGTGGGGGAGGGGGGGTCACCAACTTGAAAATGAGCTTGAGGATGGGCAAAATGGATGGTTTGCCCCGTAATGGGTCGCTACGCCTCTGATGTGAAGGGGGATGAATGGGGTAGACTGTTGTTTGTACTTTGTACCCTGTCCCTGTTCAATCTTTATGCGGTGAGCTGTATCAGTCATGTAATCATATTCCAGTTTGTACCTGTTTGTGTACGTGTTTGTGTACGTGTGTTTGTGCATGCACTGGATCACCATAAAGGCATGTTCGTGTGTTTAAAACACCCACAGCTTCATCCTCATCAAAAACTGGTTAGTCTCATTCAAACGACGGTCAAACTATTACTGCTAGTCCAAAATGGCCGACTATCTGTTGTGAGTTGTTGTCAACGCATGCGCAACAGATGACAAACGTTTTGTTTACATGTGCTACCATCTACACGTTGCGTTCGGAAACTTGTTAGACCACACAAGTATATTAGATTTAAAAGAGAGCAAGAAGAAGCACAGAATTCAATAATACGTCGTTTTGTCCATTCATCGTATAGAGATACTAAGAGTTAACCCAGCTCTAACTGGTATTGCACTAGCATCAGTTAGTGTCTATTTAGCTCTGATGTGCATGTGACTTAAGTCAGAGAAAGTAAAAGCTGTTTAAAAACGTGTGCATTTGGTACACCGTAGTTATTGAAACAGATAAGCTCTACTTCATCTACTCTTTGTAACGTCAGTTCTAAGCTAAAGAAAATCCTATGCTAAAAAGCAACAGGATTTTTAAAAGCCAAGACCAATCGTTTATGTGATGGCGTGGACTAGCGGTAGAGCGCTAGACTGCTAACCCGAAGTCTTGTGTTTAAATCCGGGTTCAAGTCAGTCAGAGGCGTAGCGACCCTTCCCGGCACCCTGGAACAAACTTTTAATTTGCACCCCCCCCCCCTCAAACTTTCGATTTGCACCCCCTCAAACTTTCGATTTGCACCCCCTTCAAACTTTCGATTTGTTTTTTCCAACCCATTTTGGCGCCGCCTTAGGTCGGCGCCCGGAGACATGTGTTACCCCCCGCCCCCCCCCCCCATCGCTACGCCCCTGAAGCCAGTGGAACGTCCCTGAGTCCACCCAGCTCTGATGGGTACCTAACTCACGTTAGTGAAAGTAACAGCGGCTGGGCATAATGCTGACCACAATATCCCTTCATATGCCGATGTCAAGAAATATATGAACTACTTCATCTGACTAATTGATCGTTAGGTCTAAAAAAAGTAATCTTTCCTAAGACAAGTCTCACAATTTTAGCTAATTCTTGTACCAACGTGACTGTCTGTTGATTAAATTCCTGCACAGCTTGTTTGTTTACAACTGTCATCTTATTTGTATTACAGATTGTTAAAACATAATAATAAACAAAACAACGATCATTTCAATGACTCGTAAACATAAACGTATTTCAATATTTCAAACATCTTTATGCAGTTACGAGCTGCTAAAATACACCCCACCCACCTCCCACACCCCCTCTTCCTCTCGCTTCTCAATACTTGGGAGATTAGGCTTTTCAAAAGTTATGCTACGTTGAAGTGACGTTTCAAATCTTTGTATTTTGGGAAGAGTCTATTTCAGACATTTTACATGTGGAAAGGGGGGATACCCCACCCCTCCCAGAGCAAACCCAACGCCCATGACGATGGGAAGAACATATACAATCAATTAATATAGAATGTATATCTCAACCATTGTCCCCCCTTCCGGAATATTTAAATGCGGCCCCCCACCTGGAAATTTCAAACACGCCCCCCCCCCCCTCTGGAAATTTTAAATGCGTCCCCTCCACGTGCAGTTTCATGTGCCCACCTCTGAGCAAAACGCCTGAAAGAAACCCTAATTTCGTGGACTTATAACTGAAATTCTATTTCCTCTATTTGAATCTGTTTCGTATATTTCACCCACACGTGTTACATGATATATCGTAAACATGCTTCACGCTGAACTAATTAAAATTCCAAACCCATGTTTCACGTATTTGTTTTAGTCAGCGAAAATAAACGGAATAATATTTTATATATATATATATATATATATATATATATATATATATATATATATATATATATATATATATATATATATAAAATTATATTGTTGTTGATACAACTTTAATTAATTTTAATTAATTAAAAATCTCCATAGTATTATATAAATGTATGGCCAATATCCATACACAATCAGAATAGCTCAGTTAGCTAGTGCAAAACACCAAAACAACAAAAAACTTAAACACACACTACGTCATATCCTGTCCCAACGCGATGGTCATGTGATAATTAGCACTCACAGCAGTAATTAGCAGATTCGCAATATTTTCTGTACCCCCCCAACTGGAAGTTTCTGGAAGATTCTGCTCCGTATCATTACCTGCTGTGGGAAACGTGCGGACAACACCTGGCCACAGGGAGTGTCCAGACAGGTGTGTTGATGGAACAGTTGGGTTAGCCGTACCATATCATATCACTTTATATCAGCGTAGAAACTAAGCCGAATTCAGATACATAACTTGGGATGCGGCTAAATATAACTATCGCTATCACACACACACACACACACACACATACATACATATATATAGCACACACACATACATATATATATATACATATATCTACATATATATATATATATATATATATATATATATATATATATATATATATATATATATATATATATATATATATATATATATATATATTAGAAGTAAAGTGAAAGTTGCCCTTCAAAACCTGACGGTCTTTGGGGAAAGTGAAGTCGTTTTTCCCTTACGTGAGTTAGGTACACATCCGAATTCGAACCCGAGACTTACCGGTTAACAATTTAGCTCTCAGCCCCTAGGCCACTCCGTCCCAAAAATACACATAAGGAGCACAGTTTTGAGAAAAACTCGTTTAAAGTTTTGTAGAAAAGAATCAAGAAGCAATAACCCTGTATGCCATTTAATTACTATATGTTACACTTCCGACAAACTCGTGAATGTGCTTGATAATTAAACGCACATCAATATGGACGTTATCATTTTGTTGAGTTCAAGCCGACTACATTTTCATTTTATCCGAAACTTTATATCTTTTGACATC